TAATTTCTTTCTTTTTTAATACAACACAACTCTTGTAGACAGTCACCAGTACATCGTTGCTACGCTGCAAGTTCTAAGCTATCTTCACTCGCCTGTGCTGTACTGTTCGTTAGTGGTTATTTGCTCTTGCCTTGGCACGAAAATATCTGATTCGCGATGTCTCATTTTTCATTTAATCAATCTCAAAACAGCATTGAAAGGGTCGAAGTGGATCAATAATTTAAAATTTCATTTCATAATTACAATAATTCCACTATTATAAAATATTTTTCAACTAAATACCGTGATGTAGCTTATTATGGATTTATTTTGGTACATTTCTTGAAGACATGCTTTAAGCGTTTCTCTAAATGTTTCCTGTGGAAGTGTAAGGATGACAAGCCGACACTTCCATACTGTTTCCATCTGCAGATATATGCCTCAATGGCACACTCTTAGTAAACGTCCCAATATTCATGTTTCAGGCTGTATCTCAAACTAGACATTCAAAACAGTACAAAGTCATTGAAGCCGAAGTTAGTCTAAATTATATTTAAAAATTCAGTCCGTACCGCAAAGTAAACACAACACGTCACCATTACAAGGATTAAATGATTTACGATGTTTAAGGAAATAATCCTTGTTTCCAATGAGAATCATACAAGAACTATAAAAACACTGCACAATTACCGATTTCAAAAGCAGTTGTTAGGGATGAATAAAAGCTATCAGATATACATACATCTAATAGAGCTTTAGCGTTTTATGATATTTACAATATGGGATAGAATTTAGTGCATCTCATTCAATTCTAGTCCCACTAAATCAACGTTTGAAAACAATAATCACGAATAATCTCATTGTTTCAATTCATTCTGAGTTGCATCAGACAAATTTATCTATACGAATTTTATTATAAGTTTCAAAATAATATCAAGTTGGATCTTAATGGAAAAAGGTTATGAGTGTGTGGACTGAATTCCTCTGGCTTAGATTAGGGAACAGTGTCGGGCATTTTCGTAAATGCCGAACAATTCTTGACTGACTATTCACTTCTTAAGAAGGACTGTGTTACCATGGAGTTAGTTTGTTAGTTATTAGTTAACTGGTTATAGTTACAGTACAATGGCACAGCCTATAGTTTAATTAAAGGGTTTAACTTGGTTCCTTTTATTTATTTGTGTATTTATTCCTTTCCTCTGTCTTCTTTGCTATCCTATTTCTGTACAAGATGACAGATTTAACTTAAAACGACCGCTGAATGACAAGGAGAAGTTTCTCTGCGAATTGGAAAGCGAATCCACTGTTCCTTCTGACACACTGACACCAGAAAAGCTTCAAGCAATCCACTCAGCCATTTCGTACTCTACCGCAGGCAGTTCTGTGGAACGTAAATTCCTGCAACATGCGACAACTTACAAACGTCCGAACTTACAACTGGATGCCTCAGCGAGACATCTCAGGTAATTAAATCAACAACTAAAGACAGTTCCCCAACATCGTAAAAGGGAATTTCATGTTTCAAGGGACATTTTACTTTGGTCTCTAAGGACAAATGCCTTTTAATTTTAAATTTATTACTTTCACTTTATTTCAACACAGGATAGAACTTGAAATACAGTATCATCTAGTCGCTTATGGATTTAGGTCCTACCTTTGCCAGTTTTGTTCATCTCGTAAATTAATTTCAGTGTGAAAAATAATTTTTCTCTGGTTTGGAAATTATTATTTTATTTTGATCTAAGAAGTAATGGAAAAGGCCTCCAGATATGGAGGGTAGCTCGAAAATAGATTGAATATTAAATCGTAGATAGCCGAAAAGAGGTGGTCCTCTGTATCGAGGATTCGGCTTGGGGCTAAAAATTCTCACGGTAAAAAAAAATCACAGAGCTTGGGATTTGGATCTGAGATATAACAAATGTACAAAGCATGAAAGCGAGCATCCTAATTTGTCCTCTTTATAATGGAATTAGGGTCATGGCGATTGGTAAAATATGTAGCATACAGGTACAGGTGAGATATAAACACAAAACTTTAGTTAGAAAATGTAAGAGTAACAGAGTATGGATGCCTATGTGTAGATTTGAGGAAAATATTAAAATGAGTCTTAGATAAATATAAGTGGAGAGGTGGAAGGCGATCAAGTCGCCGAGGATATGGTTCATTTGCGCTCTTTAGTGAGGTCAGTAACGGATATTCTATGCCATACAGTCAGGGAATTTCTTTGCCAGTTTTAAATGAGGAATTAATTAGAAATAATTACTTAACGAGCTGTAGACCTCAAAACTAAAATAAAGTATTTCCTAAAGTCTTAATTTGCTAACCACGGATTTGGATCAAGTTCCGATTTCATAACCAAGTCACAAATTACGATACCTTGAGGATGATGAAGGAAACGTTCATCCGAAACGTCGTTAATCACATATAAATCACATTAAGTCACAAATAGGACAATAATCGACATATTGACAGTTATTAAAACCTCAAGTCTGGAGCAGTTATGTTGATTCTATTGAAGGGAAAGTATTAGGAATTTCTATGGGGTCTTAATTTTTTTCGATTTACTCGATAATATTAGTTTTGTTTACATTTATATTTTATCCAGTACAATTTAATGGGACTGGAAAGAAAAAAAGACAGAGACTTAGGAACAACACTACTTGCCACTTCTAACACTGTTGAATGGGACGATGACATTAAGACGACCAACGTGCGATACTGGAAACTGCCCTAGGATTATGTCTAATAGTTGGCTTTGTATGAACAATTTTAAGCCTTTGGCTTCTCCTTTCTCAAGTTAGTTAATTTATATTTTAAGGCGACTCTCGTTATACACGGGTGCTACGTTTCTGCTGAAATCAAAATTGTTTAAAACGGGGAAACGTTTAACAACCGCGGTTTTGTTGTTAAACTGGCGCCATAATTCTTTATTTCTAAGCTTATAATTTGCATCACATTCCCTAATAAGCGTGGTGAACGCCCTACATAGGTAGCAGGCTTAAAAAATAGCCCACGGATACGATACTGACGGTCCTAACACCGATTGCAGAATCGCATATACCGATATCTATTAACGTTTTATAACTCAAATTTAATGTCCATATATAGTATGGCAAATGCCAATATTTTTTATAATTTATTATTCAATTCAATTCAATTCAATTATTAAAGTGCTTAACAACAGCCAAAAAGGCCAATAACAGCCAAGCACTAACAATACAAACATTACAATACAAAA